AATAAATATATATATATATATATATATATTATTATTAATAAGTTATTTAATTTGGCACTGTCAGTTCCATCATAACCTCCTAGGGAATTGTGAATGTAAACCCCCAATGGACGTCGGTCAAGATATATGCCATCTTTAATTTGATGGAAATGAAAATGAGGCTGTGATGGATAGATGTACAATACATTGGTCATACTGTCTTCTTGAGGTCCTAGGCCATGTCTAGTTGTTAAAATGTTTTTTGTTTTTTTTCACTAGAAATTATTTGGAAAGACATTTTCAGTATTTTGTTGGCTGTACTGCTTGCTTGGTCAGCCTCATTTTCATTGACAATGACATCAAATTAAATATAGCATCCTCCTTCACTTCCTGGAAGATCAGTGGGGAAATCCTGCTCTACATGAGTTTTAATCAGAATGTGCTTCCTTATGCTCCTGAATCATTTGACTTGAATGTGTTTTAGAGAAAAGTTTAGTTGGGATCACGGTTTGTGTGTTTGTGTTGAACAGATACACGGTTCTCCTGAAGCAGAAGGACGCTATGGAGACACTGGAGGCGTCTCTACACAGGGACAGAGAGAGTCTGGGAGAGGAAATTCACAAGAACACTCTTATCCTGGGGGAGAACCGCAGTTTGAGAGAAGAAGTAGACAGGTTAGAGACTCTTTTTATCAACAAAACACACTCCGTAGTCAGTTTTAAGTTCATGAGGTTGAGGTGAAGGATTTATGCTAAATATGTACTGCCCTCTGCTGGCTGGAATAGACTAAAACACTAGAGCAGTAGTAACAAATTTTGTGGATGCACAGTATTTCAGTTACTATATCATCATCACAGTTAATTTTATGTTATTATTGGCATTGTTCATTTGTTATAAAATATAATATGCACATACACAATTATTTTTTAAACTATAGGGTACAACAGTGGCTAAAGGCTCATTGAGGTAAATGGTGCGTTTGACTTTCTTCTCCTTTAAACCACTAGATGGTGCAAAACGTTCACCTTTAGGCACAGTGATTAGCGTTATAATAAATAGCTGGCTGACATAATTAAATTCAGATGGTAAATATCATATATTAAGCTGGGTGTCCACCTCTGAGATAATCATCATATTTATAATGAAACCATCATGTTTAAAAAAAAAGAAAA